ATTTTAAATGACAGCACAGCATGAAGAGGCCTTAATGCTTAACAGTGCGGGGAATACAAAGTTCCTAGAGTAACAAAGCAAAGCGTAGGAGACAGGTGTATGGGGAGGGAGTCTTGTAGCAATGCCGAGCCCTCACGCTGGAGGTGCTGAGTGCTTAGCACTGCTCCAAGCCATGTCCGTCGGGTCGGCCGTGAATCTGTATCTTGCTTTTCGTGTCCGTGTTGCTTCAAGTGCCGTGGATATCCGAGCTGGATTTAGCATGGCCAGCGCCTTCCATAACTGCCCCTACCGCCCCAACAGGGGCAACAGCACCATCCCTGCCAAACTAGCTCTCCAGTGCATGGATCATAGCAACAACAATAACACGGCTTTCTGCGGCGGGGTCTCCAACAACAAATTGGACTCTGGTAGTACAGGTCTTCAAACATGTCCAGGCTGTCAGACATCTTGCTGTTCTGGAGGCGAACCTGAAACATAGCAGGGAGCACAGGAAACATGACACATGTGCAGTTCTGATTGATTCAAGGGGCCTAACTTGAGTGCGAGTCTTAGGGCAGTCCGGTAGGGACCTGGAGACTGGGGGAGGGAGCAAGAAAATGCTGACCTCACCCCTCCTTTGTCCCAGTGTCACTGCTCTTTCCCCCGCCTCATTGTTTTCCTCTACTTCCCCTCAGGCTCTCCCCCCAACAACACCTTCAAAGCCTTCTCACTTCCTTTGCCTTCAAAATGCTGGCTGGAAAGCAGGCTCCAGGGCTGTGTGGGGCAACTGCAGCAGGAGTGGGGGAGGGAGCCTTTAGTCCAGGCCAAGGCAGCCCCTGGCCCGATGGTGCAGGCACAGTCCTGGGAGGTGGGGAATGTGCATTCACTTCAGGACCCAGAACCCAAGTCTTCCTCTTTCTGTCTCCTAACACTGGGATTGGGGACAAAGGTGGATTGCACCCCTGAAGCTTGTTGCACTGCAGGAACGATTCAGCCTAAGGCAGTTTGCAGTTATGTATCCCACAATCC